TGTACATACATATATATGTATGTATGTATATACATACATATGTATGTATGTATATACATATATATATATATATATATATATATATATATATATATATATATATATATATATATATATATATATATATATATATATATATATATATATGTATGTATGTATATACATACATATGTATGTATGTATATACATACATATATATATATATATATATATATATATATATATATATATATATATATATATATATATATATATATATATATAATATATATATATATATATATATATATATATGTATATACATATATATATATATATATATATATATATATATATATATATATATATATATATATATATATATATATATATATATATATATATATATATATGTATATACATACATACATATGTATGTATATACATACATACATATATATGTATGTACATATATATATATATATATATATATATATATATATATATATATATATATATATATATATGTATATATATATGTATGTATATATATATATATGTATGTATATATAATATATATATCGAATATACTAATAAGAGCCCTAGAGAGTTAGGCCTATAATGGGTAGAAAAAATGGCAGTGAAGTTTTTTAATCAAATGAATGGCTCAGATTGATCAGATTTTAATTTTTTCTTAAGATTTACTAATTTATCCTTAATGAATATGATTATCCGTTAATTTTTCCGTTAAATATATATATATATATATATATATATATATATATATATATATATATATATATATATATATATATATATATATAGGGACGCACTCAGGTGCGAATAAGTTTCCAGGAAGGAAATGCGAACGAATCAGCGCGCGACACGTGTCCAGATCTAATAACTTAAAAAAAAAACGCGGTGGCATTTTCGTAAATAATTGAACATCGAAGTGCAAGTAAAACCTCTTATAAGTGCACCTATTTTCACCTATAAGTGCATGTAATTTTGCCTTGTTAGCATTCACTTTCCGCAACCATTCATGCACCTGGGTGTGCTTATAACTATATGTGCAACTATTTATAACTATAGGTGCAACTACTTATAACTATAGGTGCAACTACTTTCACCTATAAGTGCATGTAATTTTGCCTTGTTAACATTCATTGATCTGAGTTCAGCGGGTAGTAATACTCCTGAAAACCACTCGCAAACATTCATACACCTAGATGCAACTACTTATACCTATGTGTGCAACTACTTAGAACTATAGGTGCAACTACTTAGAACTATAAGTGCAACTAAGTATTGATGCTCAGTGTAAATTTTTACTTGCACCTATAATACATTTTACATGCACTTGTAATACATTTTACTTGCACTTCGATGTTCAATTATTTACGAAAATGCCACCGCATTTTTTTAAAAATTCAGTGTTTCTCATCCATTAGATCTGGACACGTGGACGAACAGAATCCATTCCTATTTCGCGCCTGGGCGAGCCGTTCGCACCCGAGTGCAAGTCTATATATATATATATATATATATATATATATATATATATATATATATATATATATATATATATATATATATATATATATATATATATATATATATATATATATATATATATATATATATATATATATATGTATGTATGTATGTGTGTGTGTGTGTGTGTGTATGCGCGCGCATTCAAATACAAATTCCCTTAAAATACAAACTCACCTTAAAATACAAATTTGAGCTCGTGCACATATTAACATGCTTACTTGCACACAAGGTGCACTGCCAACAATTTATGGGATTAGCTCGTGCACACATTTACATACTTACATGCACACAGCGCGTAGGAGGTAAAAATCATAACTATCCATCAAAGCTCGTGCACACATTAATATACTTACATGCACACAGCACATAGGAGGAAAAAATCACAATCATGCATCAAAGCTCGTGCACACATTAACATACGTACGTGCACATTGGGCACACTGACAACAATATCTGGGATTAGCTCATGTACACATTAATATACTTACATGCACACAGTGTGTATTTTAAGGGTGGTTTGTATTGGAAAATAATCCTATATATATATATATATATATATATATATATATATATATATATATATATATATATATATATATATATAGGGTAGAGTTGTAGTGAGAACATGTGCTTAGCTGAGAACGTGAGAACACATCATGTGCATCCATCAAATATTTTTTAATGGTCTAGATTAGACTAAGTGTGTGCAAACGCGCATTAAATGTGTGCAAATGCGATTTAGTATGTTTGCACACATTTAATGCGCGTTCGCACACACTTAATCTAATCTAGACCATTAAAAAATATTAGATAGATGCACATAATGTGTATTAGTGTTACTATTATTATTATTATTTAATTACATGTAACATAGTTAGTATTTGTGTGGTTCTAGAATTAGTCTTATATTTCTAGTCTATTAGTCAGGAGTATTTAGTGGTGAGACTAGATATACTCACGTGTAATTGGTTTCAGTTTGAATTGAATGAATTAATCTTTTCTAATCTGGTATCAGAGTGAGACTAGATATACAAATTCTGCTCGCCGAGTGACAGTGGTTGGCCGGCCTGCGCAAGAGCCTCGACAAGAAGCTCCGCACGCCCAAGAAATTCTGTCGGGGAAGAACTGCCTTGCCGCATGGTCTGGAATTGATTGAGAAGGTTGAGACACCTGGCTTGGGTGTTCGAACCAAGGGCCGAGCAGATGGAGCGCCATACCTCCGCGGAAGTATTCCGGCCTACAGTGAGATGGAGAACCTCATCAGACATCGCCGAGATGAGGAGGGAAAGGATCGATTGATCCTGTTGAGTCCATATTTTGTGCGCCGGATTGGGAACCGGATCGGCGGAGGAGGCGTCGGAACCCGACTCGCCGGACGGCGTGGCAGCAATGGTCGGCGGCGGGCACGGGGTGGAACCGTCTACGTACCCGAGGAGATCCTGGCCGTGAAGGAATGGGAGAAGCTGTGTTCTCCAGAAGAGAAAATTTCTACTGGTTAACTTCATCGAGATGAAGTGGTTTGCGCCGTTGAGGGGGTTGTTGCCGGAGGAGGGAGGTGCACCGCCGGCGGAAGATGGCCTGTCGGAGGAGCGGTGGCCGTGGCAGTCACTCCGGCAGAAACGATCGCGGTGGTAGAGGAGGCCCCCGATGCCAAATATGCCGTTCTCACGGCCACACGGCCCTCTACTGCTACAAGCGGTATTCCGCACCACCACCGGCGCAGGCCAATGTGGCGGTCTCGAGTGATCCGGCCGGCAACATCACCACCCCGGCGGAGTCGTGGTACCCAGACACCGGAGCCACCGCTCACGCCACGCCGGACGCCGGCATGCTGAGTCACGCGGAGGAATATGTTGGCCCGGACACGCTCCGGGTTGGAAACGGTACAGGTTTGGCAATCACGCAGATTGGTCATGCGTCTATTCCATCTGAGTCAAAACACTTAATAATGTCAAATGTGTTGCACGTCCCTAATTTAACAGTCCCGTTACTTTCTGTCCAAAAATTTGCAAATGATAATCATGTATATTTTGAATTTCATGGAAATTGTTTTTTTGTGAAGGATTCCAAAACCAGGGTCACGCTGCTTAAAGGTCCAACCGCGGGCGGTCTATACAAATTACCCGTATCTCGTTCCCACTTTGCGTTTGTGAGTTCCCGTGCTACGCCGGCCGTGTGGTATCGTAGGCTTGGTCACCCGCATAGTGTGGTCCAAAACAAAATTCTACAAAGTTATCCCGTTCAAGCCAATAATTCCAAAGAGTTGGGGTCGTGCACGGCTTGCCATCTCGGCAAGTCTTCCCGTTTCAAGTTAGATAGCATTCAAAATAATAGTCAAAATGTATTAGATCTATTATTTACTGATATCTGGGGCCCAGCTCTTGTAGTGTCAAATAGTGGCTATCGCTATTTTTTATTGTTTGTTGATGACTTCACACGGTTTACCTGGTTTTATCCATTACGGGTAAAATCAAATATCTATAAAAGTTTTGACTCGTTTCGTTTGTTGGTAGAGCGGCAGTTCTCGCGCTCTATCAAGTCAATCCAATCAGATTTAGGGGGTGAATACAGAAAATTACACACAACCTTTGAATCCTTGGGAATTGAACATCGGCAGTCTTGCGCATATACACATGAACAAAATGGAAAAGTTGAACGCCGTAACAGACACATTGTCGAAACGGGGTTAGCTCTTCTTGCTCAAAGCTCTGTCCCGCAAGAATATTGGGACTACGCTTTTGAGACTGCCACCTGTTTAATTAACTACCTTCCCACCTCAGTCTTAAAGTTTGAAAGTCCATACTATCGCCTCTACAAAAAATCACCCCCTTACCAATTTCTTCGTGTCTTCGGGTGCCAATGTTACCCTCATCTACGGCCGTATAATCGGCACAAGATGGAGTATCGTTCCACTCTGTGTGTCTTCTTAGGTTACCCACTGTCCTATAGGGGATATAGATGCATGGATCCAATCAGTGGGAAAACCTATATCTGTCGCCATGTGCGGTTTGACGAGAATGTGTTTCCCTTTGCAACAGGTTCTGTGCAGGCTCAGGAATCTACACCTGCGTCTCTACCTTGGGCATCCGCACCCGTATCACCGGTGCAATCTTGTCAACTTATGCCAACTCCGGACCCTGAACCGGTCCCACTGGCCCAAGAAGCACCTTTGTTGGCTATTGAGCCAAGTGCACCACGACGGGGCCGGAAACGGACCACTGTCCAACCTCTGGCTATGCGCCTTCGGCGTATGACTCGGGGTAATAATGAAGAGTTTCATGCTCTAACTGCAACAGCTGATCCAACATGCTACTCCCAAGCTGTAGGTCATCCACAGTGGCGTGACGCAATGGATCAAGAGTTCAATGCACTTCTTCACAACAACACTTGGCGATTAGTTCCCCCAGACCCAACCATGAACATCATTGGGTGAAAATGGGTCTTCCGTACGAAACGGACTGCCG